CCTCACCATTCCTGTTAATCTTTCTCAGCTTAATCTACTTCAGTTTTAACAAGAAATAATCTTAATTATTAGCCCCACACTGAGGACATTGGTGGGGGGACACTGGGTGACAGACCATTCAATATAGGTAAATTCATGGTGGATGTCTCCACCGAGCTATGCTGCCACCATATTCAGCAGCAATGTGAGCAAATGGTACAGCACCAACTGGATCGGATCAGTGACTGATGGGTAGCTCAGTGCATAAGAGCAACAAAACATCAACTGCTGCTGAATTTTAAGGTCACAGATTAAAGGAATAGCCACTTACTTCAGAGTATATTTTAAGAGTCACTAACTCCATAAATAGTAAGCCTGAGTTGTTGTCTTAACACCTTACTGGAAAAGCATAATAGGATTCCATTGAGGAACAGGTTGAACTGTTGTTGAAAGGAGTTAAGTTAAAGCCTAATGGTAGGAACCCTTATTTCTTAGTAGTCAGATTGAAATACGCTATGCTAATAGCCAAGTTCTGCGATAGGCTGGCTGTCTCTGGAAAGATTAACTTTTAGCTGCCGGTCTCAGATATTAGTGACAACACACTGCTGGGATTTTTTGTTTTTTTAAATGAACTCTATATACCAATTCATTGGGACTGTTCATTTTTAATTCATAGTTTGCAGACTACTCAGTTGCCAACTTTTTTTATTCAAGCCTTCCTGTGGCTGAGTATAGCATGGGAATGTTTGGGGGAAATAAAAGACACAGCAAGGTGTCTCTTAACTGTAGCTCTACCCTTGTTTTGGCTGGCATTGCTCTCTGAAATCAGACTTGTGGGATATTACAGGTGTGGTACCAAGGGCCTCACCTCAGATAGCTTTTTGAGCCTCAGTGTAGCTCTGCCTCAGTGTCTTCCCATTCTTTACTCAAATACTTTGGGGGGATAGCTTTTTCTAAATAAAGAAAGGCAACTGTTTTCTGTTGCAACGTGAGGCCTCAGAATAACATGGGAGTATCTTTTGTTTCAAACATACAGAATTTCATTGTTTCTCCCCAACTATCTGTTCAGGTGCACATCAGGTGTGCATCAGGTGTTCTTACACTGCAGAACACTGCTACAGCATCTGTAGCATTTACTGTCTTTATGCACACCCAATGAACGATATCAGTAATTATGCCATTCAAAGTACCTATATGCTATTGTTTTGCTTGCAAGCAATAAAGCTTTGTCTGCCTTTTCTTTCCATCCTCTTTTCTCTCAAACTGTATAGGTTTGATATCTGGATCAATTACGTTGTTGTGTTAGACTAATGCAACACAATGGACATGAATGTCCCTCTAAATTCAGCACAAAACATATGTTTTGTGGGCAAAGTGGTGTCCAGGAATAAAATGGCATATAAATTGGTTGTCATTCAGCTTTCTCTTCACATGTCCTCTTCAACGCTTTATGCAGATCTGCAGTTTGGTGGCTAGAATTACAGCAGTTTATACAAAATGATGCAAATGTGTATGCCATAGCTTTATAATTTGTGGGTCTGAAAAATTGTTTCAACAATAATAAGCACGCACTGAAGAATTTATAGCAGCCACTCTGCAAAATTACTTTTCTGCTTTAAGAATTCTCTTCACTGCCTCCACAAGTCATGGAGAGCATACATGACTTCACTCAATGACTTTGTATTCCAGATTAGTACAAAAATTTAACTGACAGTCATTACTATCGTATTTGCTACAAGTAAACAAGCAAGTTGGTAAAAGAAACACAGTTTATGTTAAACGGCGCTTTGAAGATTATACAAAGACTTTTCAAAAAGTCTGATTGCTTTTGCTTAATCTTTTCTTCAGCTTTTTCCAATTAAATAGCAAAATGTGCCATACTATTTATTCAACAAGATTCAATGTGGACATTGCCAATCAAATCAGCTTTCATGATTAAAACCTCTTCAAAAGTAATAGTACCTTGGAAATAAATGGAAGCTTTTGTCAGTAAATACAGTATGAGGGCCACAGTTGCCATATTTCGTTGACTTTTAAACATATTACAGTGCTCTTTGAAAGATGTGTCACTATGTTATGACTTCTGACTATCTTTACCACATTACCAAGGTATTTTAATGCCTCGGTATGTTTATCCTCACTCAATGGCATGGCCTAAACTAGCTCGATTATATATAATTTTTAGTTTAATTAGCATTAACAAAATAAGGTCATTTTTGCCTGGAATGATAACTTAATTTTTGATGGGGTGGGATGGGGCTGGATTTATCTCTGAACTTTCATAAGAACCTTCGAGTTAGCTGCTGAAGCGGGTAGGAGGAACATAAGGATTGTCTGTAGGGCAGTCAGTAAGTGTCAGGTAGAGTCTGCTGGCAAATCTGACATGCATACTTCACAAAAAAACCCACAGCAACACACCGAGAGGTTTAGCAGAGCTAATGGGACACTACCAGGACAGTGGTTAGGAGAAGGAAGACTACATCCTTTCCATGAACATGCAGGTGACTTCACCTTCATTAAAGAGAAGCTGTGTTTTTATGGTTCTCTAGGGACTGAGGGTGAACAGGTTAAGTTTCAGATGTCCCCACTTTCTCTCCTTGCAGAACTGAAGCCCTTCACTAGAGAGATCTTTGCCCAGGCATCTAAAAAAGCCCGGTCTGGCCTAAATGAGAACCATAGATCAGTTGCTAAAGTTTGTCTCTAGAGGGAGATTAGAGCTGAAAATCTGAGTGAGGTATTCTGTTCTTATAAAGTATATTTAGTTTTACAGATGTGATAGAACCTCAGGACAGTTTGTGGACTGTATTTTCTTTTGCACATATTTGGGCACTCAATACTGCAAAATATAAGACTAACATTACTGGTTAAAACTAGCTGTGCAATACAACCCACACATCTGCTATGCTGCCTTCTTATACTGGCAAAAAATCCATAACTGAGCTAACCAGCTCTACAAACAACTTTCTAAACTGATGAAAAGTCAGTGATGTGAACATTTGTATTCAGTGATGCGTTTAAAAAAAACTGAACTAGATCAATTGCAGTGTACTTGAAATTCTTCAAGGACTCATTGATATGAACAGCATATATTCCTATCCTCTAAGAATACATGGTGTCTGCCATAGGGTATATTCCTTAGTTGTT